AGGTCGACTATGAAGAGCTAACAAATATTGCCTTTTGAACTCTGGGGTATACTAAGTTGTGGTGGGCAGTAGCGAAGAGATAACATTCAAGTAACCAGTTATTATACATAACATTGTCATCACTACTTTGTTTTGTAACGCATAACTTTTCATATTTCTGTATCACTGAATCTATTTTTACAAATTAAACGTAGTTTATCATTTTGGTTTACTTGAAGTTTCTTTGGGTCCACTACAGGTCTTAACTTTGTTTGGATCAAGAACTTGAAGAAAAGATGTCAGGAAGTAGTATAATGATTCCTTCTTTTTAAACTCCATTACTTGAGGTGGTGAAGCGAAGCTTTAAACGAAGAATAATAACTCCCCTAGTCGTCTAAGTCAGAGAAAGCTGAGCGATTGCCCACGGTTAAGTTTCGTCTGATACACATTCAAATGTAGCAACTCATTTCAGGCAGTTAAAGGTTGTTTTACGGCTAAAAAGGCTGGACTAGTACACTTCACTGATAACCTAATGATGTGAAAAGTCTACCTGACGAATATTACAGTGGAAAACTTACCTTTTTATCATGACCAATCTGTTAATTTGAGAAGTGATTTCACTATATTTTAAAAAGTTTAAACTATAAAGAATACTTTTCTGTTCGCAAGAACATGGAAGGCTAGTTGAAGTATTCCTGAGGTGAACTAAGACTACCACTACAGCAATCTGATCTGTTCTTCTCTTCGCTATCGAGAACACAATATCTGAGGTATGGATTATTTCGATGCATTAGCAGGCTTTCAAAAATCAGCTACACCAACCATCCTACTGATAAAAAAAATGAAACAAAGACATACTGAACCAGTCACCAAAGTAAGTCTAGACGGAGACTTTGTTTAGGGGCTAAGTATTCGAAGGCAACACAACCCTAAATGTACTTAAAAATTGTCTGTTTAGATCACTTAGCCGGAAAGTCCTGAGTATAATGTATACAGGTGGTCTGCTTAAATCTTGGATCACCAAAAAACTTTCCACCGATTATATTCCGTCAAATTCTCCCCTTTGGTTTGTTTTAATCTTTCAAACGACTTTAGAACCTTATGTGCTCCGCACACTTACAAAACATTTACGGACTTCCGCTTCTCAAACTGAGAACAAAACAAAGAAAAAACATTTCGCCAGTCGGAAATGGATTTTTAAATGCTCAAAAATACAACACACTACTATTCCTAGGATACCTGCATGAAATTATGAATTTCTTTGATGACTGACTGAACTACCAAGACCAAAATTACACTCGATTTTCTGTTAATTTCTGAGTCCAGAATAGATGATAATGTAACACTACTGCACGTTTCACACTTACATCTTCAATACTTTTATTATCAACACTATGCAGACGTAATATTTATTTCTTTTGAAAAATGTACGGAAAGCGAATTTGTTGGAATACTACATGCTGAAAATTCCCTACTGTATCATACATATTGTTGGGAATAAAGTTATCATTATTATATTAGTTTGGTCAGTTCTGTTGGTTTATCGGTTTTTCTGCTCCAGCAATCGAATTCTTCGACTATGCGTATACAAGAGCACGTTCTGGTATGGTTTTATAAAGATGAAATTACAGTAACTCAAGTATTTATTCTCGAACATTCGATTGACTCCAGTTATCCAGATAACTTTAAAATAAATCAAAGTTACTGTCAAATTCATAAAACTCTTCCGCTTTATCTTACTTTTCGACTTCTTAACACAGGTCTTGACTGTTTATGAACGATTGTCGGGTATAAAATAAATCTATTCACTCTTACCTTTACGTTAACTAAACAATCACTTTGCTGTGTTCCCCCGACTATTTTCGCTTATTAGACTAATGTTTACACGATTTTGGACTCAAACTTGTTCTTTTTCTTATTTTTAACAGTTTCCTACTTTGTTTTACTCCTATTACATAATGCTTTGTTTTTCATTACCTTTACCGCTTTTTCTGATCTTGCTGTGGCTTATATACATCCAACGAATATCTGATATCACCCTCCATTGCTACACTTTTACACGTCACAATTCATGATATCACTAAAACCTTAAACATTACCATTGCTATTAATAGTATCTATCAATTAAGTTTCTTTAAATTGACCTCACCTGGCCATCGTAGTGGGTTTTCAAAATTCACCTTATGAGTATCCAGGAGCATAGTATTGAGCTGTAGGGCAGAAAGTACGCTTCTCGACTGGATACCAGTAAACACCCGTCTACGTGTTGTTCGATTAAATGAATCTGTGAGAACCAGAAAGGATCATGAGACTACGTGATGCCTATTTGTAATCTCTACCTACGCACCCCCGACCGCAGTTTGCATAATGCAAAGGATAAATTCTATGAAAGTTGAGAATATTGCTACAAAAAGCAAAACGTTCCGATGTAGTTATGGTGACAGGTGACTTTAACGCCCAAATAGGAATGCTAAGCTCATCGGAATACCATCATTGCAGTATTTACGGAATCCCATGTCAATGAACCAACAAGGGTGATCGTCTATCGCAATTTTATTCTGACAGTCACTTGTTCCGGTCAGCACCAACTTTAGCCATAAGAGTGACACTGTCTCACAGGACGACCGCCAACATCAAACCAACGATGGACACAGAGATATCACATTGCTATAAGCCATCGATGGAGAGGATTGGGGGGGGGGATTTTCACTCCTTCTGGAGTACCAGTTTGGACTCCAATCATGTGCTAGTACGGGCTCGTCAACGTCTGAGCACTACTGGTAGCAGGAACCAGACAATAGCAAAGCCTTTCTATACTTGGTTGGAAGAAGACACCAAACACACATTTAGGTAGGAGTTAGCTAATATAGGAGTTAGACTTGTGCACTGTGGTAGGATGTAATTCCATTTTTTTGATTTATTAAATCTATTACACATTGTAATAGTATTGTTTACTGGGTTACGTTTCGGACATAATTTGTTGTCATTTATTATGATAAATCTAATAAATCAAAAGAGGAGTTAGCCAAGCATTTAACATGACACCTATTCTCATCCTGAGGAAACCTGGTGTGATATTAAGTCTGTTGTAGAAACAACGGTAAAAACTATTGGTAACCTACACCCGAAGGTTAGTAAACGTCACTGCATTTCCGTGACGTCATCTGAACTGGTCGATGCGAGAAGACTAATTCGAGCTGGCTCTGACCATGATGAAGAGTGAAACCAACTGAAACTTAAATTGACCAGGAGTCTTCGCCTCGGTTGCGAGCAGTGGTGAAAGCAAGAGAAATCGTGAAGTGCACCTGGCATTTACCAACGGGCTTCATCTGTGGCGCCAACTCGCAAACTGTCCAACTATCTATCAAAGGACGAGTATACTGGGCAGCAGTCCATCCTGTTGTACAACTGTGAGACATAGACGTTATAGATAGAATGAATGAAGCGATTACAGGGTTTCGACCATAGATGTCTTCGTAGCACTGTTCGCATTTGATGGGATCACCATGTGATCAATGTTGAGGTCAGACGAAGGGTAACTAGGCAAGACAGGCAAGTCAACTAATGCGGTTGTGTTTCTTAGTGACTGAGATGACTTGACATGTAGTGAGTATACCAAGTCACCACCAACTTCGACGTGCCATGCTAAGAGAAATGGGATTATGTTGGAAGAGAGTACAGGGTGGCCAGATCACGACTTGGTACCTGTCCATGAAGTCACTAAGTGCTGGTTTGAGCCGTGTTAGGAGATGCAGACAACCTGGCTGGGATCCCTGAAATGAAAGAGATTAATGGTTGAGGACTCTTGGTGACATAGCTGAGAAGCAGTCACAGTGGCCTAGATGTATTCACTTCTTGAAGTCTACTAAGGCTTGAATATTCACGCTAACTTTTATCTTCAGATTGTTTATCCTTTCATACAACTCTGTCTACTTCGGTATCACTCTTCTTTTATCCACCTGTTCTTTGTATAACATTGTAAGGTGTAGCAACTTGAGACGATGCACCTGTATGTGAGGTCTTACTTCGATTTCGCCTGTCTGGCAAATGTAACAGACGTTTAGGTTGTTGGACTAAGCTCTCGACTTAAAAGCCAGACTTCAAGTCTGAACTTATCTCTCCTCATCCAGCCAGGGCAACAACTGCAGTTCATGACCTACTGCATAAACCTGTAGATGAATGAATTGCATTATTTTCATCATAACAGTTCACTGATGCATCAATATTCTAGGAAAATATTGGCAACGAGATTGAAAGCACGGTGAAGGTTTGGAGGTTCTAAATTTCATTCATTAAGCTGCTAAGGTTTACTTTGAATGATGTGTAGTGAGGAAGGGGGAAAGGAGAATGTGGACTTGGTGGTTGGATTATGTAGAACAACAAAGAGAGCACTGCTCACAGACGATAGACAGTAAGAAACAAAAGTTAAAAGCAGCAACAAAACTGTCCTTACTCTCTATTTCATAGTAAGCAATAAACGCTATGACATCTTATTTCTTCATTTTTCCAGTTTATCTTCTTTCACAAGTGTTTGTCTACTTTGTTCAATGCCTGCATGCAGGCTGAGAAACCGTACTGTACCAGCAGATGCGAAAAGTCAAGTCGACAGAGATCGAGCAATCCAGCCCTGTATAGCAAAACTGAATTACAAGTGGTGACTATCGTACCCCAGTGACTAAGTGGATAACACCTTGGTGTTTGGAGTGATGGGTACACGGTTCGAGTCTCAGTGGGAATAACATCACTTAGTGGAATGCATATACATTCAGCTGGTGAGCCCAAGTGGGACGAAACGCGGGTCCTGTACATCTCTGATAAATTTGTATTTACAAAAGTACAAGTCCTTTAAAGATATACTAAAATTAATACACTAAGTTAAAAGAAGAGAAATTATCTAAATATTAAAAAAAACTATAGGTGATGTCATATCATACCTAAAAGTTATATATATATATAAAGTGTATCCAAAAATCATATTACTATAGAGTGAAAATGCATGGAATAACATACCAAAGTTAGTTTCACTTAGCAGACTTAAAACTTGCAAACATTTTGCCAAGTTTTGCAAATGCATACTTTAATGATCGTTGAGGTCCAGCGGAAATTACACCTAAACCAGTTTGATATAGACTGGACTTTCTAACTATGCTAGATACAGTTGTGTATAATCGTTGACTACGTTCTATAGGTGATAAATACGACAGAAATTCACGTGCTTCTATAGGATTATTAATATGTACATCTTTAACAGATAATAAGCATACATAGTCAGGAATATTTGTAAGTAATTGTGGTATAATTTCAGATTTGACATTAAAAGATACCAATCTGTTTAATTCCAATTTATTAGGATAAGATTTCAATGGTTGTTCAAAAGAGAAACCATATGATTCAAGAGAATGAAGTGTAGTTTTATAAAGTGAACGAAATTCAGATAAACGATTTTCACCAGATACTAAACGTTTTATCTTTTGTCGATCTTCACCAATAATCATACGCCAATCTCCAGTATACGAAATAGAAGAAATGGTATAAAATAAGTCATATTCACTCAATGGAAAATTTTTCGGATAATTTTGTAAAATAGCATAGGACATAGAAGCAAGTAGATTTTTATTTGTGAAATATTCAACTGTTCAATATGCTCTTCAGATGAGTATAATTTCGAGTCATTAGGAATCCATAAAACAGGCTTTTGTAAACGTCCAGCTAAGTACAAATGTGACCATGTGGATAGGTCATCAAGTATACTCTTCAATCCCACAACACCATACTTAAATAATAATTTGGTATTATCAATAGGGTCATTCCATTCAATAAACGGATTATAATAAACCTTAGGACCAGATGTCTGAGAAAGAAACATTTCTAAGCACGATGATTGGTACTTTTTTGAAATACTACGGAGTAAAATATTGTAGTGATTAGGATTATCAGAAAGGTTCTTCAAATGCCACTCACAGGATTATGAGTAATTATGATTAAATCAACCAAAGAATTACTTGTTGTCCTATCTTTCTGAGGAAAAACAACAGATCCATAAGCAAAGGAAGCTACATAGTTTGTTCTATCTGTATTTAGAGTACCAATAAGATGTTTAATTTTCCCGATTAAATCTCTGTTCGTCATGATACTTTGTATCGACGGATATCCTTTTAATATTTATAACAGTTCCAGACTTGATATCTTCCAAGCGTCGTTGACCTCTGCGTAGTGCTGCTTCAATACCGAAAGTATCAGTCTTTCTATATGCAGCTGCCTGTGATCGGAATTCTGAACGAATAAATTCTCTTAGTTGACTGTTACTAGAATTGGCTTTCGAATCGTTATTATTTTCCACTTTGATTTATTTTGTAGTAGCTGAATAGTGCGCAGAAAATCTCGATACAAACGAATAACTGTAAGTTGAAGTTTACTGTGACCAGAATTCATAAGATAAAATCTAGAAGCTAAAGAAAAGATAAGGGAAATTTTAATGAGAAGTCATCAGTTAATAAACTTTGAAACAAGTAAAATCAAACTAATATAGGAGTAAAACTTGGGCACTGTGGTAGATTGTAATCCCATTTTAGTGTTTATCAGAATGGTCACACGGTGAAGGAATAATTATCATTTACTGGATAACGTTTCGAACACAATTCGTCGATCATATTCATATCAGGTAACCCCACAACTTTATCGGTTTAGATCCCACTCTAATCCCAGCCAGTTTTATTGAAAATGCTTGAGTTCACTTTCTGTTCTGGGTGTTGAACTTGAACTGTGGTCTATCACCAGCTTCTTTGAATTCAGGGCTTTCAACTTGATTTGGAAGGTAGGTAGGTTCCTTGGACTAGATAGTGGTGTGAGTAGTGTGAACCTACATCTGCTCCCCTTCTTGATCTTATGTCGAGTGGGTTGCGCCTCCATCTCCACTTCCTCGAGATTGAGATGAAGTCGATCTCATTTTTAGTGTGTCCATGTCGCTTTGTGAATATCTTTGTGTTTGTACACACTGTCTCCAATCACCAAATCGTTGAATGCGCAGAAGTCTGCAAACAGTTCTCTATTCTCCCTCATCATTTCATCGAGTGCTTCTCGACCCATGATTGGTCCTCTTCCTGTATGTTCCGCTCCCAGTTTGGTATTCTTGTCACTCCACCCGTTAGAATTTTGATGTCTCCATCGAGGGTGGGGTCTTGTCCATTACTGATTGGAGTAGCCTGTAGAATTCTTCCTTCTTCTCTTCATCTACATTATTTGTAGGCGGGTGGCGTAGCACTGTATGACTGTGACTTTCCTTCATTTTAATTTGAATCTAGCTGCCATGATCCTGATGCTGGAGGAGACTGGTTCCTACTGCATAGCAGCCTTTGATGCTCTTGGGGACATCATGACAGCCACTCGAAAACTCAGTGTACTGTGCTTGTGGTTGTCGTCAGGGTGAAAATATCGCAGTAGATTATTGACTCTCCAGTTGACAGTTGAGAGAGTGCACTTCCATTCCATCTGCTTTCGCAGATTCCTATCACTTCTATGCCATATCTTCTCACCTCTTTGGCAATCTGGCAGCCTTGCCAGCTAGCTCCAAACTTTGTTCGGACATTCCATGTCCCCATTCTTACTTTCCCTTTCATCGAGAGGAGTGAAGATGCATCGGCCGATTGGCTTCCTGAAGGCTTTTACCAACTGGCGTCATTTCGCTCCTTCGATTCCAGAGAGGAATAAGTTTGATTTTATATTTTCTTCGTGCTTTGAATTTTTTTCTGCGATTGGATTGGTTTTATGGGGTAGGGTTGCTAGCCGTATGCTCAACCTTCCCTCTTTATCTGGTCTTGGGACCGGGTAATAACTAGTGAACTAGTTACCAAGGCGAGAAACATATCGACAACTTATTGGCACATACAAACTCAGTAGTAGGCAAAATCCAATTTACTCACGAGGTCTACAGAAAGTCGACACATTCGAATAAGTATCTAGACTTCAAGTCATTTCATCCAATGTCAGTTAAGCAGGTTTGGTTAAATGTCTAAATGATCGAGCTAGAAAACTGACTAGTCAGCACAAGGACCCAAACAACGAACTGAAGCGCATAAAAAGCGCTAGTAGTTAATAATTATCTTCTGAAGTTTATCCAGAAATTCGTACAAACACACAAGAAACGAAATGATGACAGTAATACGAGTACGAATAATAACGACAACACAAGTAGAAAGGAGTTCACAGTCTCCATTGTGTCGTCCTATAAGGAGGGTACATCAGAAACTTTACGTAGGATACTCAATAAAGCTAAAAATAGGGTGGCATTTAAACCTACAAACTCACTCAGAGATAAGCCTTGTCTGCTTAAGGATCCAACAGAATCAACTCAGCAAAATAATCTAATTTATCAAATACCATGTAATGACTGTGAGGCCAAGTACATAGGTCAAACTAGCCGATCGAGGTCAGTTAGAACAGAGGAACATAGGAGTTTGGCTAAATATAGAGTGACAGACCCGAAGATCAATAATCTAGAAAAACACTCGGCTATTGCAATTTATGCTTGAAACCTCGTCATCAGGTAAATAATACTGCATCAATGTGTGCTGTATATCAAATAAACAAATCTAATATGGAGTTAAATTCCACCATAGTGCCTAAGTTTTACACTTATAGTAATGATAATGCAACTGAACCGGGTACAAGTGTTTATGAGTCCCGCTAATTGTGTTTACGATAGGATACATTAACAGTGTAGACAATAGCGGGGGGGGGGAGCCTGTTATTTACATACCTCCAGAAGAAATTTGAAGCGTCTATTATTAGTATTACCAAGCATTATTATATTGTGTTTAGTATCCCTCTTTTTCCCCTAATAGCTCTGTTTACTTTACTGTCGACTGTCTCACTTCCACAGACAACGCTACAGATTTCAGGCGATATAGTGGCAAAAATATCCAAAGAAGAAGCCGACCACAATCATACGTCTTAACATCCACGCTACATGGGTTTTCATAGTTGACAAGGATATTTGACTTGCACATGATATCTCAGATACCAAGGTTTTTTATTATGGACCTCAGCAGTGGGTACATACGTCAGTAAGACAACATAGCAGTCAATTGTGCATTGTGTTTCGATTTCTTTGGCTAGAATTAGTAGCGAGTCAATGACAGTTCACTAGCGAAACACTTTACGAAATATTTATAATATGATATATTTATAATATTTTTAACCCCACAGAATTCCGCCACAAATTACATCTTCTGACGTCGGTTGTTCATATCTTGCATCGGACCACCCAACAGGACTTACTAGCTAAAGCTGTAGCATTTTAAATCATGTAAGCTGCATTCCTCAGGAATTTCCGTGCCTTTATGCATTCAACTCCACTTAAACAGTTTGAAGAATGCTTCAGGTAACAATGGACAAATTCACCATTTTTGCAAGATTAATTATAAAAGAAGGCAGATACGGACTGAATCCTTATTGACAAGAACTTACACTGTAAGAAGCTAGAAAAGTAGGATAAAATGCTGATTTGAGCTTGAAGCTAACAAATGTGTCTGCCGGATTCAGTGTGATCAAAGAGATGAGTTATACCAAGGCGAAAACACGAACGTAAAATTGTATTATGAAAGCATGTGAATTAAATGGGAATATGTTATGATGCGGAATTGTGAGAACGAACGATAATACTTAACAATTGATAGTCGGTTGAGAAGTTCAATCCGAGTGATTCGCAAGGAGAAATCAAAAGATTGAAAATCAGCGGTTATAGTATCTCGGACTGAAGACGTTAGTAGTGAAAACTGACTTATTTATAGAGCTTACAGTAACCTTGGAAGCAATAAATAATCATATATTTATAGGTAGGAGCCAACCATAACACTAGGGATCATATGACCGATGCGCCGGAAAAACAGCGCGAAGTAAAACAGTCCAAATATACTCAGATTGTAATATGGAACATAAAATATAGGCATCCCTAAAAGAATGTATGCATGGGGGTTAAGACAGATGGAAAGATACCTTGATGAAATTTTCGAAACCCTAAACCAGAAGATTAATAATGATAATTTGTTACATCCTAAAGGTCAGTAAGAAAGTGAAAAACTGCTTGGTTCATCAGAAATTGACCGCGACATAAAGATGGATACAAATATACATACAATATCGCAGTCAGTCACTGTTGGGAAGAATAACCAAAGAGGTGCCGTTTCTACTGTAACATATGCAGGAATTTGGTTCATATATGGTTTGTACAGACAGAAACTTTTGCTAACCTGAATCAATGACAATATCAAGGGTATGTTTGAAAGGTGAATTGGACAGTTAGTGACTTACAGTACTAGTTACTTATAACATTGTAACTTCAAAATTTTATGCCCATCTGTTGTTTCACAAATATCCTTTTGCTGGTTATGACTAAACCCAATGAGAATTTACAACTAACACACAAGAAGACGTAAAAAATGCACAAGGCTGTGTAAAAGACTTTAGCGGTTTAATTAGGTCATAAAAAATTAGAATGACTGACTTTCAAATCGAGCATTCTTGGTTCGTTGTTAGTTCATTTACAGTATATGAGGCTATTGAATCAACTGTTTGTTGCCATAGCAAACAGTATTTCTAATCTGTTGTGAAATCAGTTACAATAAAATATAGGTTGTTATCAGTATGTTATTAGAAGAAGCTAATAAATTTCGGCAGTTGCTTCGAAATCAGTTTACCTATTTATCAAAACCTGTCTCAATTGACTTGAAGCAGGATTGTAAGAGGAAGCAGCTCAAATGTGAGTATAACTGTACAGTGGAAGATGATATCGTCTGACTCCATAAACCTCGATAGATGGAGTAGTGCTCGAAATCTTGAACAACTAATTCAAAATTAACTGCCTACACC